GGATAAAACTTACCAGGAAAGGTTAAAGGATCTTAACATGTATAGCTTGGAGGAAAGACGAGACAGGGGGGATATGATAGAAACATTTAAATATATAAAGGGAATCAACACAGTAAAGGAGGAGACTATATTTAAAAGAAGAAAAACTACCACAACAAGAGGACATAGTCTTAAATTAGAGGGACAAAGGTTTAAAAATAATATCAGGAAGTATTACTTTACTGAGAGGGTAGTGGATGCATGGAATAGCCTTCCAGCTGAAGTGGTAGAGGTTAACACAGTAAAGGAGTTTAAGCATGCGTGGGATAGGCATAAGGCTATCCTAACTATAAGATAAGACTAGGGACTAATGAAAGTATTTAGAAAATTGGGCAGACTAGATGGGCCGAATGGTTCTTATCTGCCGTCACATTCTATGTTTCTATGTTTCTATGCCCCTAATGTGATGCTTGAAAAATACTCGAGGATTGCTGTTGGGGCACCACGAGCTTGTATGTCTTAATCACTATGCACGCCAAAAATAAAGAATTTAAAAAAAAAAAAATGGTATCATATTGATCTCTTCTTAACCCACTGTTTAGTGAATATGCCTTTTTTCATCCTTGTATGCATTTGTGTATATATAAATATATATATATATATATATATATATATATATATATACTCCTGGTTAATGCATTCGATTTAGTTATTTTGCTACTTTAGATTCAATTCAAGTGCAGACTTTCAGTTGTAATTCAGGGGAAAAAATTATTGTATTAAACGTTTAGGAATTGCAACCATTTTCATGCACAGCCCCCTTATTTCAGGAGCTCAAGTGTAATCGTACAAATTAACACAATCGTAAATAAAATGCAAATTTTTAAAACTTTGTTGAGAATCCTTTCCAGGCAATGACTGCTTGAAGTCAGGAACACATGGACATCACTAAATGCTGGGATTCCTCCTTTGTGATGTTTTGCCAGGCATTTACTGCAGCTGTCTTCAATTGTTGATTGGTTGTCAGTCTTTTTGCCTTAATCGGGTTGAGATCAGATAATTGACTCGACCATTGCAGAATATTCCACCTATTTGCCTTAAAAAACTCCTGGGTTGCTTTCGCAGTCTCTTTTGGGTATTTTCCACGTGTAAAGTCCAATCAACTTTTTTGAATTTGGCTGAACCTCAGTATATATCCCTATACACTTCAGAATTCATCCACCTTCTTCTGTCTTTTGTAACCTCATCAATAAACACTAGTGACCCAGTGCCATTTGAAGCCATGCATGCCCAGACCATCAGACTGCCTCCACCGTGTTTTGGAAATGATGTGGTATCCTTCAGATCGTGAGCTGTTCCAAGCCTTCTCCATATCTTTTTCTTCCCATCATTCTATTACAGGTTGATCTTAATTTAATCTGTTCAAAGAATGCTCTTCCAGAACTGTGCTGGCTTTTTAGATGTTTTTGGCAGAGTCTAATCTGACCTTTCTATTCTTGATGCTTATGAATAGGTTGCACCTCGTAGTGAACCCTCTGTATTTGCTCTAGTGAAGTCTTCTTCTTCTACCTCCTGGAGAGTGTTCTTCACTGGATGTGTTATTCAAAGAATGTTCTGAAGGAGTTTTTTTTTACCATGGGAAGGATCCTACAATTATCCACCACTGTTGTATTCTGTGGACATCCAGGCCTATTTGTCTTGCAGATCTCACCAGTGCTTTATTTTTTTCTCAGAATGTACCAAATTATTGATTTGGCCACTCCTAATGTTCTTGCTATCTCTCTGAAATATTTTTTATTTCTTTGCAGCCAAAGGATGGCCTGTTTCACCTGCATTGAGATCTCCTTTGACCAAATGTTTTGTGTTCACAGCAACAGCTTTCAAATGTGAATGCCACACCATGAATCAACTCCAGACATTTGCCTTGCTTAATTTATGAAGAAATAATGACGGAGTAGATCACACCTGTCCATGAAACAGCTTTTGACTCAATTGTCCAATTACTTTTGGTCCCTTGAAAAAGAGGGTTCTACATATTATTATGTATTTTATTGCCCTACTTCCTTAACCCGTCCTCCATTTTGGATGTGAATACCCTCAAATTAAAGCTGAGAGACTGCATTTTCAGCCCGCATTCATTATTTATTGTAACTTGAATTTATTTTGTTAAACAGACAAAATAACAAAACTTGTGTCCAGACCCAGGGCCGGCCTTAGGGGTGTGCAAGCTGTGCGGCCGCACAGGGCGACATGGACCAGGGGGTGCCATGTGGCCGACACAGCTCACACATGGCCGGTGTCAGGGGAGCTAAAACAGGTGTCCGGGTGGATGATTAATTATTCTCCACTCGGGTCTATTAAAAAAAAAATTGCGGTGGTGGGGGCGTGGCTTATTGGGAGGTGGGGGTGGGCTTACAGCGAGGCGGAGGTGGGGCTAATACATAACAAGTATAATACATACGAAGCCCCTGGTAACTCGTGCACAGGAAGAAGGAAGGAGTCCTGCTTCCCCATCATCCAACTGCATCCACTCCCCCTTCCAGCCATAAGGGCAAGAGGTAAGTGTGTGTGTGTGTGTGTCTGTGTCTGCCTGTGTGTGACTGTTTGCCTGTGTGTGTGCGTGTGTGTGATTGTCTGCCTGTGTGACAGTCTGTCTGTGTGACTGCATGTGTGTGTGTGTCTGTCTGTGTGTGTGTGTGTCTGTCTGTCTGTGTGACTGACTGACTGCCTGCCTGTGTGTGTGTGACTGTGTGTGTGACTGACTGCCTGTGTGTCTGTCTGTCTGTGTGACTGCCTGCCTGTGTGTGTGACTGTCTATCTGACAGACTATGTGTGACTGTTTGCCTGTGTGTGTTTGACTGTCTGCCTGCCTGCCTGTGTGTATGACTGTCTGTCTGTGTGACTGTCTGTCTGACAGCCTGTGTGTGACTGTTTGCCTGTGTGTGTGTGTGTGTGTGTGTGTGACTGCTTGTCTGTGTGTGTGTGTGACTGTCTGCCTGCCTGTGTGTGTGACTGTCTGTGTGATTGCCTGCCTGTGTGTGACTGTCTGTATGCCTGTGTGTGACTGTATGTCTGCCTGTGTGTGACTGTTTGCGTGCGTGTGTTTGTGTGCCTGTGTCTGTCTGCCTGTGTGACTGCCTCCCTGTGTGTGTGTGTGTCTTTCTGCCTGCCTATGTGTGTGACTGTCTGCCTGTGTGTGACTCCAATTGTGTGTGTTGCTGTAGCTGTGCCGTTGTGTGTGCCTGTGCCTGTATGTGTGACTATCTGCATTTAACTGAGTGTGTGTGTGCCTATCAGCATGTGTGAGTGTCTGCATGCCTGTAACTGAGTGTTTATGACTGTCTGCTTGTAATGAAGTATGTGTGACTGTCTGCTTTTGACTGTGTGTCTGTAACTGTGTGTGTGACTGTGTGCCTGTAACTGTTAGTGATTGTGTGCCTGTAACTGTGTGTGACTGTCTGCCTTTAACTGTGTGTTTGGCCCTGTGACTGTCTGCCTGTAACTAAGCATGTGTGACTGTCTGCCTGTAACTGTGTGTGTGTGTGTGTGTGTGTGTGTGACTGTCTGCCTGTAACTGAGCGTGTCTGACTGTCTGCTTGTAACTGTTTGTGTGACTGTCTGCCTATGCCTGTTTTTGTGACTGTATACAGGCAACTTGGTGGGGGGAGGGAGGGGGCGCCGTGAAGACTTTTTGCACAGGGCGACTAATGGCCTAAGGCCGGCCCTGTCCAGACCTAACTGTATATTTTACTCAATGGTGTATTTTGAGAAGTGTACATTTCTAATATTTGTTTGAAGATATTCTATTTATCCTCAGAGTTTTGTCATTAAAGAGTTTATGCCAGTAAATGAGTTGTAAAGCTGCCCTTATCTTATTGAAATTTTACTTTCTAAATGTATATGTTTCAGTATTCCCCATGTGCTTTTGCTTCAAATGACACCATATTGTGATCAAGGCCGGATTAACATAGGGGCTGATGGAATAGGCCCATGGAATAGGCACATTGATTTAAAAAAAACAAAAACCTTTTCTGTTTTTTACTTTAAAAATAGTTTTTACTTTAAAAATTATTCTTTTTTTACACACTACTCTTAGGGTTGCCACCTGGCTGGTATTTAGTTGATGCTGTAATACCAGCAATACAAATGCCTGTATTTTTCTCAGTTTAAACAGATTACTTTGCATTACCAGCACCGGCCAGTAGGGGTTGCTGTGTGTGTGGAGAGAGGCAGGGATAGGAAGTTACAGCATATACCTGCATCTCTCTACTTACTGATCCATGGGGGAGCAGCTACACAGCACCGAGAGTCCAGACACCAGCTCCCAGCCTGCAAAGACAGCCTACAGCTCAGGGAAGTGAGGGATGGGGTAAAGGCTGCATGGAGACATGGGGACACTGAGACACTAGGGGACACAGGGAGACCTTTGGGGACACTTGGAGACACTGGGATGCAGACACACATGGGGGCACTGAGACTTAGGGACTCTTAGACATGGGGACACTGAGACACTAGGGGGCGCTGGAAGACATGGGGACACAGACACTTGGGAGCACAGAGAAACTAGGGGACACTGAGACAGTAGGGGACGCTGGGAGACATGGGGACACAGACACACCTGGGGACACTGGGAGACATGGGGACACAGACACTAGGGACACAGCCAGTGTCCCTGGTGTATGTGTCCCCATGTCTCTTAGTGTTCCCATGTCTCTCAGTGTTCCCATGTCTCCCAGTGTCCCTAGTGTCTGTGCCCCCATGTCTCCCAGTTTCCCCATGTCCCCCTGTGTCCACATGTCTCCCAGTGTCTCTGTCCACATGTCTTCCAGTGTCCCCAACTGTCTCAGTGTCCCCTTATATCTGTGTCCCCTAATGACATGGGAACACTGGGAGACATGGGGGCACAGACACTAGGGGACACTGAGCTACATGGGCACACTGTGAGACATGAGGCACTGAGACATTGTGATACATAGTGATACTGTGATACATAGTCTGTGTCCCCAAGTGTCTCAGTGTCCCCTAGTAACATTGGGACAGTGGGAGACATGGGGACACAGACACTATGGGACACAGCCAGTTTCCCTGGTGTCTGTGTCCCCATGTCTCTCAGTGTTCAAATGTCTCCCAGTGTCCCTATTGTCTGTGTCCCCATGTCTCCCAGTTTCCCCATGTCCCCCTGTGTCCACATGTCTCCCAGTGTCTGTGTCCACATGCCTTCCAGTGTCCCCAACTGTCTCAGTGTCCCCTTATCTCTGTGTCCCCTAGTGACATGGGGGCACAGACACTAGGGGACACTGAGCTACATGGGCACATTGTGAGACATGAGGCACTGAGACATTGTGATACATGGTGATACTGTGATACATAGTCTGTGTCCCAAGTGTCTCAGTGTCCCCTAGTGACATTGGGACAGTGGGAGACATGGGGACACAGACACTAGCGACACTGGGAGACATGGGGAGACAGGGAGACACTGGGAGCTATCCATCTTTACAGCAGAATCAAACTGTAAGTCGTTTTTTGATGATTTTACAGAATTTTCTCTTGTGTCACTCCTTGTGATGCAAATAAGTTATGCAAATTAGCAAGGCCTGCATTTTTTTCCAAGAAAGGTAGAAACCCTAACTACTCTTCACATACTTTTGCTTAAGTATGGAAACTTAAGAGGGATATATGGAAACAAAACTTGTGTGGACTAGCTGAAATGAAATTAGTTAAGGTAATGCTGACTTTGGTCTCTCTGTGACTGTGGCATGTTCCCTTTCTTCTACACTCCCTACATCCACCTTTTCTCTGTCTCAGACTGTATACCATGAGCTTCTGTCTGCTAGTAAGAAGGTAAGGAGACAAGTGGACATGTCAATGCTAAGGGGCAGTCCTTAGAAAGCATGGAGCAAGTGCATCATTAGATGCATTTATGCCAAGCTCAGGATGCTGTTGGCCAGCATGCATGATTGGCAGGCAGCCTGACATGCATTCATGCCAGGCTAGCCTTCCAATTCTTTGGGCAGACATGCCTCCTTTTTAGGCATGTTCGTCCCTTTCAGGAGTTCTGGTTACATGATCTGCGTCAGTGGCCCACCATTTTACACCCCCCACTGCTGTTAGAAGGTATGGATTTACTTGAAAGATGAAAGCATGAATTAGAGATAGATTAGCATATTTTAAGAGAATCTGAGTTTTCTTATAGCTGCATCCTATGTGTTTCCCTACGTCAACATCTCCACTAGATACATAATGCTTGGGAGGTCTGGCTGTTTTAGTGTTTTTGGTCGATAAGATTCTGTAAGATAAGATCCCCTCATATTTGTCAGCACCAGGTCCACTGGGCTCTTAATCTGGCCCTGATTGTGATCACTATTTTCCAAGTGCTCCCTTGCATCAAAAGGTCAACATTGTTCATTATACTCAGATCCAGACAAGCATCCTTTCTAGTTGGTGTTTGTAACAGTTGTATAACCTCCAACCTTCTAGCCATCCTATCCCCCAGCACAGCAGACCTTCTTCCGTTTAAGTTCCATCCATCCTAGTTATAAAGATTGTAACCAAGCGCAAAACCAGCCCAGTGCTCTAAAAAAACAAAACCTTTCTTCCTACACCATGACTTTATCCATGTTTTAACTCCTATGGCCTTTCTACTGTAGTGCTCACTCAGCACAGGTAATATTTCTAATAATACTACCTTGGAGGTCCTTTTCTTCAGCTTTAGATAATATGAGAATTGCCATTGTGGTCGGATTTTGGCCACTTGGTAAATTACCCTATTTTTTTTCCCTTCATTTGGAAAGTATTAGACCTGTGGGCATGTTACATCTCAGTTGACTGAACCCTACTATAAAAATGTTTCCTCCCTTCCTTCCTTCCGTGTGGCTGAATTAAATTAGCCCTTTAATGGAGCACAAGGGTGTAATCTTGAGTAATAAAACGATACTGGATAAATGCTTACAGATAGTCAAACAAATATTGGTTTTCCTGACTGCTATCTTTTAATTAAACAACTGTAATCTATATGAGATAGAAAAGACCACTGCAATTGTTAGGAGTCTGCACAGAAAAAAGTCAGATACAAAAAATAAATAAAATAGAGGAAAACCATCAAATCCTGCTTTGTTTGCTCCATGAACACAGCCAATTAATATGCAACTATCACTTCTATGGAAATTACCCCATTTAATTAAACATTGAAAATCATTTAGAACTTTTGTTAACCTTTATTATTTGATGCCTCATTTTCTTTTAAAATGAAAGATTTAGCAATTGACATCAAAATCCAGTTCAGTCCAGGCACAGTGAGGGCACAGAATACAAATGAGGAATTGAAAAGAATTATTGTTTCCATTTCTCCACATTATCTAAGTTCATTGGCAGTAAGGGGCATTTAAAATTTACATGGAGCCAAGATGGAGTCGCCCAATTCCAGGATATCAGTTTGAATTTCTACATTCATTCTTATGTTGCATACTTTACAATAGCATATTTGCTAAACATATGGGAAAGGTAAACATGAGATTAGAATTTCTGGGATGTGATAATATCTCTTCAGGAGCACAAACTGACTGATATATTTGTAGAAAATAGGACATCCAAAGGTAAATCAAATATGTAATTGCAAAAGCATAGTATTTAATTATATAATTTTTCAATTAAAGGATACTAGCTTCTTGATCCAGTGATAAATCTGATTTCCATTCTGGGGTCAAGAAGGACTTTTTCCTAGTTTGTTGTAAGATTGGAAGTGCTTTAAACTATTTTTTTACATTATTTTTTTGCCTTCTTTTGGATTAACAATAAAAAACAAATATGAGGAAGGCTGAACATGTCTCTTTTCAGCCTATGTAACTGTATAACTATGTAAAACCATGCTTAGTACTGGTTTAATAGAATGAAAATATAATACATGCCTATAAAATACAAAACATATTCATGGAAATGCAGCAGGCAAAAAAAGAAAAAAATCAATACACCTCTAAAAAGGACTCAACGAAAAGCGACAATGAGTTTCTCCTAGAGGAGGACTTGATCATTAGGGCAGTGGAAGGGCTATCACAGATTATTTTAAAAGCAATGTTTCCACCACACTCCCTTTCTCTACCACAAGTTTTAGCTCACAAGGCCATTATTCAGGGCTGTCTTATTCAAGTATTTTCAGGGCATGGCTTGGTCACAGATTCTGTATGACTTGGCTCTAGCAGAGGAGGCAAACAAAAAGAACCATCATGCCCTTGTAAGCAAGTTTAAGCAGAAGTTAGACAAATTACCTGAATTGAGAGGATCATGAGAGAAATCAACCAATGTTATTTTACCTAGGGCAAAAAAGTAGGGAAATAAAATAGGGCAATAAGCTACTAGTGACAAGAACAAACTAAAATCCTCTACCCCTACCTACCTAATGAGCTCACCTCATTTTATTCTTCCCTATTTGGCTTATGACCCAACCAACCAATGTGACATTTCTATTGCAGATAGACCTCCCCTCCCCCTGAGTCTGCTGACCTGACAGTTGTGCAGAAAACCATCATTGACACCCTCCATAAGGAGGGAAAGCCTCAAAAGGTAATTGTGAAGGAAGTTGGATGTTCCCAAAGTGCTGTATCAAAGCACATTAATAGAAAGTTGTGTGGAAGAAAAAGGTGCACAAGCAGCAGGGATGACCGCAGCCTGGAGAGGATTATCAGGAAAAGGCCATTCAAATGTGTTGGGGACTTTCACAAGGAGTGGACTGAGGCTGGAGTCAGTGCATCAAGAGCCACCACACACAGACGGATCCCAGACATAGGCTTCAGATGTCGTATTCCTCGTCAAGCCGCTCCTAAACAACAAACAACATCAGAAGCGTCTTACCTGGTCTAAAGAAAAACAGACCTGGTCTATTGATCAGTGGTCCAAAGTCCTCTTTTCTGTTGAGAGCAACTTTTGCATCTCATTTGGAAACCAAGGATCCAGAGTATGGAGGAAGAATGTAGAGGAACACACTGCAAAATGCTTGAAGTCCAGTGTGAAGTCTCCACAGTCTGTGTTGATTTGGGGAGCCATGTCATCTGGTGTTGTTTGTCCACTGTGCTTCATTAAGTCCAGGGTCAACGCAGCTGTCTACCAGGAGATTTTGGAACACTTCATGCTTCCTTCCACAGACGTGCTTTATGGGGATGCTAACTTAATTTTCCAGCAGGACTTGACACCTGCCCACACTGCCAAAAGCACCAAAGCCTAGTTCAATGACTGTGGGATTACTGTGCTTGATTGGCCAGCAAACTCGCCTGACCTGAACCCCTTAGAGAATGCCAAGAGAAAGATGAAAGACATGAGACCGAACAATGCAGAAGAGCTGAAGGCCGCTATTGAAGCATCCTGGTCTTCCATAACACCTCAGCAGTGCCACAGGCTGATAGCTTCCATGCCACGCCGCATTGAGGCAGTAATTGCTGCAAAAGGGGCCCAAACCAAGTACTGAGTCCATATGCATGCTTATACTTTTCAGAGGTCCGATATTGTTCTTTGTACACTCCTTCTTTTATTGATTGCATGTAATATTCTAATTTACTGAGATTGTGGATTTGGGGTTTTCATGAGCTGTAAGCCATAATCATCGCACTTATGACAAATCACGGCTTGAACTATCTTGCTTTGCATGTAATGCGTCTATCTCATATATTAGTTTCCCCTTTTACCTTGCATTACTGAAATAAATGAACTTTTGCATGATATTCTTATTTTTCGAGTATCACCTGTATGTATGTACATAAATTGATCCAATAAAGGTGAAACGAGAATATTGAAAAAGAACTATATAAGATATTAAGATGTTTGTTTATATAAAGTTTTCGTTCATGAGAGTCTTTAAAATTTCCTTTAAGAACTTTAATCCTGAGGTTTTGGATGTGGTGACCAGTCTGGATGAAGTGATGACGAACAGGGGTACCATATCCATTTTCCTTGTGGTTCTTGATTGAGTGTCCGTGTAGATTCATTTTGAGATGCAGCTTAAGGCCAGTTTCTCAAATGTAGTAACCTTTGTCACAAACTGTACAATGTCATGTACACCACATTCGCAGATGTGCATGAATATGATCCCTTAATATTGTATGATTTGTTGTTGTGTCTGGTTGTGTTATTGTCACATATATGTTGACACAGTTTGCAGAGTGATTTATTGCATCATACAGTGCCATTCTGTGTGAGCTT